GAGGCAAACTGCTACACTACAAAACACTTCACATGCTATCTCCTAGCAACCACACAGGTACATAGAGCCTTCGTCAAAGGAAATTTCAGAAAAGTTACACGTACATTAAAGAAACAACTACAAGTTTCACATACAATGTGCATCCTTCACTTTGGGCTTCACTAAATAAGCCTGTTACTGAGACAAAGACAAAGAGCCGTTGGGAAAGGAGGAGAGATCAACAGGTAGCCAGGAAATACAAGCAGAGAATGGTCTACAAAAATAAAATACCCTGAAATCTGGCAGCACCACAGTTGACATCAGAGGAAAATGCAGCCCAAAGCATGGCTGCTTTTTCATTCCTGCCTCCACATTGCATCTGCCTCATTACTCACTCTTACCAATTCTTATTCCGCTGAGTGTGCAGCTACCTGATCTAGGACCACTCATACCCATGGAACTAGAAGAGGTACAGCAATCTGCCTGAAATAAAACACCGAGAAGTTGAAAGACCCTCAAGAGGATTAAGCACAGCTGAGAGTCTGGCACCTCAACACTCATTACAGCAATAGGGCAAAGTAATGATGGACGTAGAGAAGCCACCTGTAAGGAAGGGTTTGTGTTAGCTGTTTGGCACATTTGCTCTGGGTTAGAGTACCTACAGAGCAGGTGTGAGGTTTAGTTGTACAGCTAAAACTGCTGAGTTACTTCACTTTCTAAACCAATCCACCACTGTTAGTGCATAGCTTGCCAGGTTATTCCTCTCCTCAAGGAGAGAAGAGGGGAAATGATGCACCCACTTTCTGTATGACACCTTAGCAATTATAAAGCACACAGAAATTGAAAGATATCAACTTATCAACTTATCAACTGTTACCTTCTACATTCCAAGTGCATTATTCTCAGGATGTACTGCATAAGGTCTTAGTTTGCATTATTTCTTTAACCTGTGTGGTCAGTTTGAAATCCCTCTTCTCTGCATTTAGTGCTGTCAAGGAGTATTAGAAATTGACAAATGATCCAAATCAGGCTCCTCAAACAATAAAGCCTCAGACTCTTGTTTTGCACATAGCAAATGGTACGAAGTAGGAAATAGGTGCTACTGTTACTTGGTTACTTTGGGCTCTGAAAGACTTATGGGGGTGCAGTCATCCTGAGATGATTTTTGGTTCCTTGTCCAAATGATTGAGTCAAATTGATCTCTTTCAGTTTTACAACACATTTCCTATACCAGCTAAGGAAAAAGGAAACAAATAAACAAAAAACAAGCATGCTAGAAATGTCTATCACCTAAAATAGTTCTGGAAGTCCAGAGTGCTGTTTGCCAAATTTAACCTATCAGACTGCTCTTTTTTATTTGCCAAGCAGCTTATTATTTTCTGATGACACTGTTTTCTCCATTCTGTAACACTTCAGTCTACACACTTCCACAGTCAGCACGTAAGAGCACAACTAAAGCACCTGTTAAGGAATGAAAAGGAATGAAAAGGTCAAATACGGAGCAGAAAATCTTTGCCAAAATCATTTCAGTATGCTGATATAGGAAGTCTGGGCTTAGTCCAAGAAAAGCACTTCTCAACTAGCAACCTTTTTTATGGGAAGAGTTGTTCCAGCCAGAACCTCTCACAGAACCACCTGGGCTAAATTGAAAATAGCCTGCACTGTCTCATAGTTTCAGCATACCAATACTTATCAGATTGCCCCTAATTTTCATTTCCCAGCTCTGCAGTCCCACAGTATGTTCAAGAGAACTATGATGTCTTAGATGTCAAATCAAGTTGTGAACTGATTGTCACACTGAGTGTTGTCTACAGCTTTGTTTTTCAAGCTTACTGTTTCTAACACGTCCCATGTTCTACAGAATGTATTACCAGCCAGTAGTTACACAGTAGTACAGTTTAAACAAAACAAGAAGTGCTGGCAGTGCAGTACAGATTTTTTGCACTCTTTGACATGATATTTCTGTAAAAAGAAGAAAAATACATTAGATCAAGGCAGTGTACAGCACTGCATTTCACCAGGGTCTGTGGACCTCAGGGCCGGCACTGTCTGTACCTGGGTTTCTGAGTATTCTCCATAGCACTTAGAAGTCCTCGGATTTGTAACCGACAACTACATCATTTCTGATATTTCCCAATAAAATAAAACACAAATAAGTAAATCAGAAAAGCTAGGTGCATGATATATTAAGGAGGGTCATCTTACCTGTGCTTTTACATCAGAACTTAGAATCATAGAATCATAGGATTGTTCAAGTTGGAAAAGACCTTAAGGACTGAGTCCAACCACAACCTAACCATACTACCCTAACTGACAACCCTCCACTAAATCATGTCCCAAGCACCGCATCCAAACAGTTTTTAAACACATCCAGGGATGGTGACTCAACCACCTCCCTGGGAGCCTATTCCAGTGCTTAACAACCCTTTCTGCAAAGAAGTGTTTCCTGATATCCAACCTAAACTTATCCTGGTGCAACTTGAGGTCATTTCCCTCACCTGTTACCTGTCACCAGTGAGAAGAGACCAGCCCCGCTCTTGCTGTAAGCACCTTTCAGATATTGGAAGAGAGCAATAAGGTCTCCTTTCATGATCTAATACTAGAGATACTGGTCCATTCGATTTCTTATTATTCCTGAGCTTTGCTTTTGTTTTGATATGAAAATGCTTGAAAATTGTCAAAAGCTTTGGAGGTTCACAAACACGTTTTGCTCTTCCACAAAGAAGCTTCCTGTCATTTCAAGAAGAGGATAAAGTAATTCTCTTTCAAAGTCAATGAAAGACTGAGGAGTTGTTTGTTTGTTTTGCTTTCCCATTTGTTGCTATGTTTTAGTGATAAGAGTTGTAAAACTTGTTTGTTCTTGCAGTCTTCTGGCCAATGCTTACGTACTATAGTGTGTATAGTATGTGTATAGCGTGTATAGAAGTGTCCATCTATGCACAAACTTTTGCTCAAGATCTGTACTGGCTGTAATAAAAATATGCATTTGCATTCTTTAAGTCCCACAGAGGAAATACTTAATTATCTTTTCCAATCACCATAGAAATGTCCAAGACGCCGTTTCTACTTGCTGAACAGCTGGTATATTTGCACTTGAAAACTGGTGATATTTAGACAATGGATCAAGCAACTATTATTCACTTAGTCATCTCATACTCAATGTTAGCCTTCAGTTAAGCAAATTAAGTGCATCTTATCTTTATAAAGGCCAATGAAAGGTTTGAGATGTTAATAGTTTGCTGCCATGAGGCTGTTTGCTTTGTTTACAAGTAGGATTTGGTGTTGCAGTCAACTCATCACAGAAGACTATATCTACTGTCTGCAGTGATATGATGCAGTAAGTAAATTATGATTATCAGTTGGCCATAGCTAATACATAAAGCATGTGTTTTATCAAGAATTAAACATGGGCAAGGGATGGCAGTTTTTCACTTCAGTGCTTGCACATAAATATTTTAGTAGTACAGCGTATGACTGGAAACCTCAAATTGGGGGTCCTATTTCAAATTATGATTCAGACTCATCTTACACAATCTATTGTCTCTATCATCTATAATACTCAGCAAGTCCCCTTAACTTCTCTATCAGAGAAGTTTACTATTACTTTGCTTTTGTGATAGTTCTGTAATATTCGGACCTTATTTTGGTCACAAAAGAACCTATTATCCCAGAGGAAATAGTACAAGGAATGATGGAAAAAATGGGGAGCTCTGACTTGGTTTTAAAATGACAAAAAATGTTTTACAGATCTTAATGCACGTATGATGGAAACATTTCCATCATACTGTATCATTGGAGCAGTTCTTAACTGAATAGAAGCACCATCTCCCTGAGCATAGGTCCCCACGCTTGTGCAAAACACTGAAGCAATGACATCTGGGTGCCAATTACAAAGCTGAGAAACATCTGAAATACTCTCACTTCTGACAACCAGAAAGCTGTCAAGTACATTTGCTTACAAGAGTGCATGGTGTAACAGTAAAAAGGTAAACAAAGTATAAACAATCCCTAAGAACAAAAAATGGTATTGCCACTTTAAGAACCTCCTTCCAAATTTCAACTTAAAGAATTGTGCAATAATTTCTAATTTGCACAACTATTTTATTTTGCATTTTGAAGAGTTGTAGTTGACCTCACAAAGCATCCCACTGTGAGTAGAAAAAAAAAAAATCAACAAATCTATTTATTTATTTATTTATTTATTAACTTTGTGGATTGAAGTGGATTCAGTTGCTCTGGTTATTTTTTTTTTTATTTTTTTTTCCCCCTGTGACCTAACCTACGTTTTCATTAGATGTTTTCTGATTTTTTTTTTTTTTTAATTACAGAGTATATTTTAAGTTCACCTCATCTCCTAATTTCTTAATTATAGCCGAGTATAGAATCTATTTAATCCCAGAGAACAACTTTAAGGCACGATACCTGTCTTTATTAATACGAGTGAGGAGGCGCACCCTGGGGCGCTTCTGCGATCACCACACCGCTTGTTTTGTGAGCAAGTTTTGGAGCGGGGCGACGCTGCAAAACAGAACCCTACAGGGAACTCGCAGGGAAACCAGTGCCCCACGACGCCGGCAGCACGCGCTGGGTCAGTGCAGCATCCCGGAGCAGCGCCTTGTCCGCCCGCTCTCCGCCGAACCGCCGGCCGCTGCCGCAGACGCTCCAGCTCGGAGCGGAGCCGGCAGACGGCCGCTGTCCGCCCGCTGCCAGAGGCCCGCGGCTGCCGGCCGTGCGGATGAGGACGGCTGAGCTCCTACGGACGGCAGCAGCTCATTCCGACCGACAGAGAAATGGAAGAGCTCAGCTTCCAGGAGGCGCGTTTCTCCCAAGAGGAACCAACCCTGCGGACCTCTCCCGGACCTCTCCCCGCCACCCACCGCAGCCGCCGGAGCAGCCCTTCCCCTGCGGCCGCGCAGCTCTCCACCCCGGGGCTCTGCAGGCGGGCAGGGAGCGGTGAGTCAGCGGGACAGCTGCACCCCAGCGCCGAGCGGCTCTCCCACCGCGCTCCGCTCGGCGCTCACCTTGAGGCTGGCGCTGCCGGTCTGGGTCTCCGCCTCGATGCCGCAGCAGCGCGGCGCCCTGGGCTCCCTGCGGCGGGGGCCGGAGCAGGGCGGCGGCTGCCGGCTCTGGTAGGCGAGGACGGCGGGGATGGAGTCGGCCGCGTCGCTCTTGACGAAGAGGCCGTGCAGTGTGGAGGCACCCTGCGAGACGGTGGTGGTCTGGTGGGGGGAATTGGACTCGTCCGAGTCCCGGCAGTAAATCACGCCGCTCTGCGAGACGTGGATGCTGGGCGCGCAGCCCATCCCGTCCCCGCCCCGCTCCGCTCACCGCCGGCCGCAGCCCGCTCCCACCTGCCGCCCGCCCGGGCTGCAGGGCCGCCGCCCTGCGCCGCGCTGCCCGTGGCGCCACCCCCTGCCACCGCCCAGCCTGCAGCTCTGCCCCGGCCGCTCCGCTCGTTCGGCACCCACCTCGCCCGCAACGCCCCCCTGCCGTCGCCGCGCCCGCCCGGCGGAGCGAGGCCGCCCCACGGCTCTCAGCGCTCTCTCGCCTCGTCCGGTCCCCCCGGCCCCGTTCCGTCAACTCGCTTTGCTAGAGAAAGGTCTCTAAAGTGCTTCTACAGAAAAATCCGACTGTGCTCACTTCTCTTAGCCATTGGTAAGCAAGTGTCAGTTATTTTGTGTGACTGCAGGTACGAGCTCGGAGCCACACAGCATCTACCGCAGGTGTGGGAAGAAGACCAGGACTGCTCAACGGCTGTGAATGCTGCTTTTCAGTCAGAGCTCAGAGCTGCCCTTGCAGCCTCAGCTTGTATGCCCAGTAAGTACCAGCCCCTGCAGCCAGTCCCAGAGACCGTCAGGCTCAGTCTGGCAGTGATCTGCACACCTCCTCGACTTCCTACAGTGAAAGTGCACACAAGGTGTAAAGCTAACCACAGTTCTTAAGCCTTTGCTACATTTTAGTTTAAACTCCTCTGTTTTCCATGACATTTTATAAATCCTTCAAGAACTGGTGCTGTCATCCAGCCTCTATGTTTACTGCCTAATGCAGCATTTACCCAACATTGTTACCAAACAGTATGTCTGTATACATCTTTCCACTCCTTGGAGCATCTCTTGATATTTGATATCACTCATCCCCCCTCCAGTTTTTAATAAGCATTGTAAATACGGTAGAAACATGAAGAATGACTGGTATAAGTACTGTGATGCCAAACAGCATGCTTTAAGCTTTTCATTTCACTTCCTAGTACTCCAAAAGGAGTCCCGTGGTGATCGGAGACCAGTTCATTCATTGCCACAGGAGTGATGGCTTCACAGACAAAATGCCTCAGCACAGGAAGGCTGCTTTGTCTTCTGCTGGTGCCAATCAATTCCATGCGTCATTGCGGCAATATGAACACTCAGTCATCCATCAAGCACCAGCCTGAGATTACCAACCTATAGGACAAATTATGGCTTTACCAGAGAGAGCCTGTCTGTGCTGGTCCTAGCAAACACATTTCTCTCACTAGTTTTTTCCCCACTTGTCTAAGTTCACAAAGTTGTGGCTCATGTCCTGCACATACTGCATGTTTGCAGTACTGCCCTACTGACGGCTGTCTTTGACAACCAATGTGAAACCAGGCTTGGTTGTGAGTGAAACAAAGAGAACAATGCCTTATCCTCCAATTCATTGGTGTAGCTGTTGTTGCTGCTTAGGCTGCAGTTCTGGGTGAGATCTTTCAGTCTACCAGATCCTAATACACTTAGCTGCAGACGAACATGTCCTGCAAAGTCCATAGGATGGATTGGTGGGCTGAGGCCAGAGGTTCAACGAGACCATGTGCTGGGTCCTGCACTTTGGTCACAGAAACCCCACTCATTGCTACAGGTTTGTAGCAGAGTGGCTGGAAAGCTGCATGGAGGAAAAGGGTCTAGGGGTTCTAGTTGACAGCTGGCTGAGCATGAGCCAGTAGTGTGCCCAGGTGGCCAAGAAAACCAATGGCATGCTGACATGTATCAAAATAGCGTTGTCAGCAGGAGCAGGTGATTGCTCCTATGTACTCTGCCCTGGTGAGACTACATCTTGAGTACTGCATTCATTTTTGGGCCCCTCACTACAAGAAGGACATCGAGGCCCTGGAGCATGTCAAGAAAAGAAGGGTCTGGAGCACAAGACCTATGGGGAGTGGCTGAGGGAACAGTGATTGTCCAGACTGCAGAAAAGAAGGCTCAGGAGAAACCTTATCACTCTCTACAGCTTTCTGAAGGGAGGCTGTAGTGAGCTGGGATTTGGCCTCTTCTCCCAGGTAACGAGATAAGAGGGAATGTCTTCAAGTTGCACCAGTTGAGGTTCAAGTTGGATATTAGGAAAAATTTCTTCTCAGAAAGAATGGTCAGGTGCTGGAATGGCTGCCCATGGAGGTGGAAGAATCACCAGTCTTGGAGGTGCTCAAGAAACATGGAGAGGTAGAGGGGCATGGTTCAATGAGCATGGTGGGAATGGGCTGATGGTTGCACTAGATAATCTTAGAGGTTTTTTCCAACTTTAATGATTCTTTGATTCTATGAATTGAGCAACGAGTCCATTTTTTGCACTATATCATAGTTCTTCCTCATTTTAGTGTTATTATACTGAAGAACTAACCTTTCTTTAATTAATGGGAAACATAAGCTTAGCATCTGAATTACTTTCTGTGGGTCACACCAAAGATTTAGAACAGAATGAGGATCATCCCACATGAAATCCATACATGAACTGTAAATGAAGTGTCCCAAAAAGACCCCTGAGAATTGCTGGCTATTTAGGTTGAGACTTAGTTAATAAAAAAGAATGTGGAGTAAACTGTATTTTGACTTCAAAGATGTCACATCACATCTAGATTATGCGCTCAGCTATTTGCAGTCCATTTCTTCAGATAGATTCACTGTTATTTCATCAGACAGGGAATACTTAGGTTTCCATAGCTTCCCAATACTCAACATTCTATATTGTTCTTACTGAGCTCTGTCACAATTTTGCTATTTATTTTAGACAGCATTGCAGGCATTTGCCCGTTCTTATGTGGACTTCCTTTGTCTGGACATGATATTTGCCAGAAATTTAATCGTAGGAATAGAGCGTAAGTCACACGTCTGGAAAATTTTGACTAAATGCAACTGTTGAGTACCTCTCCCTGTTCTGTTCTACTGATTTTTGGTTAATGGGGAAGAACTGCCACTGAAGGAATAAAGTTGCCTGTGCAGAGTGCCAGAATGCTTGAGAGGAGGGAAGGCTGCAGGACAGAGAAATACATGGACAGCCAAAAGGCAGTAGAAAGGAGAGTCACTTGCTGCTTCATCTGACAACAGGAGGAACTTTGAGGAATGGAACATGCGAGTGATGACAGGTATGAGCAGAGGGTGAGGCAAAGTAAGTGAATGCAGAGGAATAGGATGACTGTCTGCAGCTGGAACAGGTGAAGAAATGGAGAGGCAGGTTAAAGAATCTCTTCTAATATTGTTATTTTTGCTGCATCTTGCCTGTGAGAAGACAGCCATAGATTTACTGAACAGGGCAGAGAGGGAATGTATAACACACACACATACATCCTTGTACCATGTCTTATGGCTTACTTATCCTGACTTATGTTCACTAACATGGAAGGTTTTATTCTAAATAGCATGTGCTAATTCAACCAGGAACCTCTCCAGCAGGGACAGGTAAGGTACTGACGCAGATTCTGCCCTCAGAATTGTGTATTTCATATGGCCTCAGCATTTAGTCAGTGCATCCAGTCACTGGAAGATATGCACCCATTTTTTCACTATTAAAGATTCTTCACTGGCTTTAGTTGCAACTATACAATAAATTTTACACTGTACAGGAAACCAGTTTCTTACAGGACAAATTTCAGCTTTAAGTGTACTAGTGATTCTGGAAGATGTCAGTGGAACATCTGTATAACTTTGTCTATTTTTCCAGTATCCAGTATCCAAGAGATACACACTCTCTATGGCATTTACACCTGCAAATCCCCCCATAATGAGGAAAATATACTCCTCCAAACTTTGTATCCCTTCCAAATTGAGTCACAGGCTTCACTCTGACCTCACTATTAACCCCGTGCTACAAGTAGGTTGGTAAGCTATTGGAAATGACATCTGCAAGTCTGAGTTCACTGCAGTAAGAATGTACTACTTCAGAGATCACACTTTACAGAAAATCTCATACTTCACAGCCAGCTTCTGATGACAGTTACCTCTGTTCGCGTTTCTTTTACTGTAAACCAGTTTAAGAAGGTACAAATTAGCTTCTATATCTAAAAAAATTTACTGGGCACTGAGGAGGCTCAACAGTTTCTCAGTCCTTTCATATTGGTCCAATGGATTTCAAAACTACACTAAAAACTAACATGCATGCCCATATGGGAGCAAAGTAAATACCTAAATATTAATTTAAATTAGTCAGACTACATGCTGTGTTCATAACTCAAAATAGATGTGAAGAAAAAATCATGGCAGCTAGAATGAAAGCCTTCTATGCATACCTCCATTTTGTTGAAAACAAAACAACTGACCAAACCAAAACAAGAAAAAACACAGCTCTGTAATAACAAATTATCAAATGCTTATCTCATGCTTTTACTCACTGACAATATAAGAAATGATGTTACTTGAAAAAAAAGGAAGATGTTAAATACAAGAGTGAGGGCTATTTCTTCTGCCTGAGGAAGAGCAGAATGTATCTTTCAGCCCACAACTGTGTGATGATTCTCACATGAGTGTAAACAAGAGTAACTCACTGCAAGCAAATAGTTTCTTTCAGTTCGTCTAGAAAGCAAAATCAAGTCCTGTATTTCTTTTCTCTGCTCAAAACTCCTCTATTTCGTAACTTCAAAAAAATAATGCTGTGACTTCATTTTTCTTAAGTTTATTACATGTTTGTATACTAAATTCTGTGTTTAAATACTAAATTCTATGAGTACTATGAATAAATATCACACTACAATAATATCCTTTTAGGCAGGTACCGCTCAAACTGAATGGTTTTGCTGGGATGATCACACTGTAAAACTTATAAGCAAATTTGGTCTTCTTTCACAGGCATATTTGACTAGCTTGGACTATAGCAGCTACCTCAGTTTTTACCAGAAGTACATAGAATACTTTGCCTGATGGATATTTTGCAAGTGGGAAGACTGAGTCACAGAGAAGTCCAGTACTAAAACTACTCAAGGGAGCAGAGCTGAAGAGGGAGCCCAGAGCATTTGCCCTTCCACTAGCAGCCTGTGTCAATGTAAGTACTGCTTGGCACAGAACGCAGAAAGGCAGGGGCCCTCCTTTCTCTTCACTTCTAGCTCTTCCTGCAGAAGCGAGGCAGGGCTGCACTTCCCACCTCCCCACATCTGCAGCTGTTTCTCT